GCTGTGGGTTCTCCTGTGCTGTTCCACTGGCTGACAGTTGGTGGCAGTAAAACACAAAGAAATGTGAAAAAGTGTCACAGTCCCAGGGTTCTTTACCGTAAAGGTTTATTATTAAAGTTTTTGTGGTTTACTGTATTTCTGTTTGTTAATATTATTTGTTTAGTTTGGAGTGTTTCTCTTTGTGTGTTGTGTGTATGTCTGATTCATTGTTAGCTACATCCTGGTGTATTTTGGTAATGGTTTTTCTCTGAGACAGAAGTTTTACTTCCTTTGAATCGTTTTCTTGATTATTTTTAGCTGTTCTCCCAGTTGTCCCCCCCCGTTGTCTTGTGTGTATTTGTAGCCTCAGATCTCTTTTTTGTTGCATCATCACTCATGGTTGTGTGTTTCTTTGTTCCATATATTATTATCATAATGTGTATGATAATAATATATATAACTTTTGCATTTGTTAAATTTTAATTCTCTGTGTTTCTTTCATTTTTTTAATGCGTCTCCACAGACCTTGACCTTACATAAGACTTTTATTGCTCAATTTATTTCTAAAATGGTACATTATAGTCATGATTAATTAAAAAACGATCAGGTGTCTTTATGACCCACCTTCAATTCCTATTCTGCCCCAGCCGGTGACCCAGCTGTTAACACCGCTGTAGAAGGTGCTGTTTGAAGCTGCCAGGCAGACCGGAGAAATGTAGTTGTTGAAAGTCACCGGTGAGGAGAGCTGCAGGAGGCAGATGTCGTTGTTGAAGGTAACAGAGTTGTAGTTTGGATGGTTGATGATCTTTGTTACTGTCCGAGACTCTGCATTGGGATTAGATCCCTGTAGACTCTGACGGCCCAGATTCACAGTCAGACCGGTTGCAGTAATGCTGAGATCATCAGGAGCGACACAAACAGTGCACAGTTATTACAATTGTTATAGACGAGAAAACATATATAAAGTTTGACTTCCCACCCTGTTAAATATTTATCCTGTTACCACCCTGAGCCCCCAGATTAGCACCTTTCACAGCGTCTTTAAATCTTGTTTAGTGTTCGGCCTCATTACTCACGTTTGAAAGCAGTGAGCAGCAGTCAGCACCCACTGACTGTTAATGAGGGATCCTCCACAGAAGTGGGACCCAGATCTTTGCAGACTGACCTGCCAGGGCCAGCTGCCAACAGGGGCCACCTGTCCTCCTACAATCCTGGTGTTCAGAGGCGCCTGACCACAAACTGAAGACCGACAT